GGCCGACGCATCTCGTCGCGTGGCTGGGCCACGGCCAAGATGCCTCGGCCACGTCCGAAGGGAAAAAAAAAAAAAAAAAAGTTACACAACGAAAATTAGCCTGACTGAACTGCAGTTACAAACTCCGTGGTGCAACTTTTCTGCAAAGCGGAGTTTCGACTGCATTGTAAACTTGGGACCTGACTGGACTGCGAAACGGCAGACTGAGGGCCTCGCTGCACTACTCTTGAAAGGTGCAAAACGAGAGTGAATCGTCCGCTACAACATGGAAAGATACAGCGACATGATTTTTGTCTTTTGTGCATTTCAAGAGTAGTGCAGGGAGGCCCTGAGTCTGAAATGCATTTAGAAACTGATTTTGTGAAAACTTGGGTCAGCTAGTTACCCCTAGACTAAAAGGACGATTGCAAACGCATAGCCATGGGAAGGTGAAAGAGAGAGATGGAGGGTAAATTGAGATTGAGAGGGAAAGGCGACACACACAAAATGCCCTGGAAGAATATACGCGCACAGAAAAATGGCATTCACTTAGAATAAAGCTGTGTACAACCGGCGACGGCCATTCTGGCCAGGTCCCTACAGCTGTGTCATTCGTCCGCCCGCGGATTGAGCACGTATCCAAACCGACGAATTGAGCACGTATCCAAACGGACGACCAACCTCTTTAGATATTGTAGCACGAAGCGTTCTTTTTTGTTTCAGCCACTAAGAGTGACAAGACCGAGATATGCAAAGGGGTAGATCCGCATAAGACAGTGTGTGTCTGGGGAATGGGTAGAGGAGGAGAAGAGATAGAGGAGAGTATGAGGAGGGGAGAGAAAAGTTGGAGAAGGAAAGGAGAAGGGAGGAAAGGAAGGGAAGGGCGGGAGGAAGATTCAGGGCTACTTCAGCGTTAGGACCCTCAGAAACTGTCTGACCACCACCGCGTCGTCGCTCGATAAAAAAATAGAAAAATCGCCCGGCCGGGCCTGCCCTGCCGGGCTGGGCCCAGCCGGTTGGGCCCGGGGGGGACGCCCGGGTAAACCGGACGGGACAAGAAAACGCCCCGAATTTTTTTCTTTTTTTTTTTGAAATCAGGGTCGTTCTGCGCTCGGCAAGAGGACCCTGAATCTGCAATAAAATTTTGGTTTTGGTGGGGGGATGGGGGCTTGGTCTGGGTGGGGGGTGCTGGGGTTGGAGGGCTGTCTGTGATGGGGCGCAGATGCGTTTTTTTTACTTTTTTCTTCTTTTTTTTGTTTTGGTAAGGGGTGTGTGTATACAAGGGGGGGCGAGAGAGAGAGAGCGAGAGAGAGAGAGAGAGAGAGAGAGAGAGAGAGAGAGAACAAATCCCCTTAACACGGCTGAGACGGCCCATGCAGGGTAAAGGTTCTCGCAGACATTTAGCACAGACCACCCCTCCAAGATTCGAATTCAGGTCTGTGTTCCAGCAGTTATGGGTTGCTCACGTAGCTAGGCCCTGTTGGTCTCTGCACGTGACTCTTAGGGCTTGGCTGCACTACTCACGAAATGTGCAAAATTA